TTGTGGTGAGTAAAAGCTGAGCAAAAACATGCATCTACACAAATATGCATTTCTGAAGAATAAAAATAAAGAGACCAACACATATTTTTATTTGAATTCATATGAATACTGTATGCAAATAGCTGCAGTATTTGCTGTGACAGCCTTTGTAATGCGCTGTGTCCCAAAGTGAAGACTTCACCTGATAATCTCAACCTGTTTAAGGTTGATTTATACATGTTAAAGATGGACGGTGTGGTAATGCCAGTTTTTATTTCTCTCTTATATGTTCACCCTCAACCTGACTTTTTTTTTTTCATAGCGGCCAGGGCTGCTTCATCCACGATTAGTAAGTAGAAGCTGAGTGACAACACACATCTACACACATGTGCATTTCTAAAATAAAAACAAAGAAACCAACATATTTGTATTTGAAATGTTAAATGTCCAACATTCACTGCACAGTTGCTGCAGTATTTATTTTTCCAGTTGTTGTAATTGGCTGTATTTATACTACCATTTATGATAAGTTGCAGGTCGTGATAATGACCTCAGAAGCCATAAACGTACTGATCTAAACAGCAAATGAAATGTCTAATTTTCCCAACATTTCCATATTAGCGTCATAATCTAGCTGCAATTCCTCACTGTGAAACTAACTTTTTTGAATTATTAAATAATTAGAAATGTAATTTATTAAATATGTGATCATGTAGTTCCTTCCATAAAGAGCCATTTTCTTCTCTGCTGCACAAAAGAGTAAAAACAATGAAAAAGACCCTTTAAATGAGCCAATGTGTCTGAACTTGAATGATTAAATATAGGTGGTGTTTGTCAACATGTAGATTTAAATACAGTTTAAATATTGTAATAATATTCTAACCTGCTGTAAGACTCTCGGAAGCCAGAAACGTAGTATGATGTGGAGACATTACATGTTAAGATGAAATATTAATCTGTTTTTGTCAGACAGATGAATGTGAATAAAAAGAGTACGATGATAAATTTAAGAGCAGAATATCTGAGTCAGGTTCAGATGATCCAAAAGCAATAAATGACATTGACTTTAAAATATTTGTTACAAGAAATCAAGATTCTGATTAGAAAGGTGACAGTGATGTACATTTAAATACTTTTATACTATTATATTAGTATATTATACTATTGTTTTGTATTTATATATCAGCAAATCAGTAAGTTAGTGTTCCTTAGCAAATTCTTAAGAAATGTACTGACTCTATTTTACGTTATAGTGTGTGACTCCGCAGTGATGTTTGAGGAAATTGAAACGGGTAAGTAAAACCTAAATGACACATCTGTACATCTATGTAAATGTGTAGCTGTTTGTAGAAGGGACCGGGCCCATACAACTACTGGACATAACCTGCATCAGTACCACATGGAAGCTCCTGTTCAGGCACCATAGCGGCTAAGATGAATAAGCACATGGCTCAATACATAAGCGGGGCACAAAAAGGAATTGGCATGAATACCAGAGGCACAAAACACCAGCTACTGATAGAGACGGCAAGACTTGGCTGACCAAGCCCCACACTCAGATCCTGGAATGCCTAGAACTGTACAAGATCAACAGGACCCTAAGAGCCTTCATCAGGAACTCTATGTGGATGTGACGAACAACACTAGAGGCTAACTTCAAGCCAATAGCACAAGTCACCATCAAGTGTGGGATCTACCAAGGAGATGGATGATCTGTCCCCACTGCTTGTCTGCTTAGGCCTGAACCCCCTCAGTGAGATCACTGACAAGACTGGTTACAGATACCGACTACAGAATGGAGCACTTGTCAGCCACCTCCTGTGCATGGATCATATCAAGCTGTATGCCTAGAGTGAACGAGATATCAACTCACTGATCCACACCACCGAGATATACAGCAATGACAGAGGAATTTTATTTGGGCTGGAGAAGTGTAATCAGATGACAACAAAGGGAGGGAAGGTAGTCAGAACTGAGGGGATCGAACTACCAGAAGTCAACATTGCAGACATAGAGGACAGGTACAAGTACCTGGGGATCCCACAGGCAAATGGGAGCTGTGGAGAGGCTGCTAGGAAAGCTGAAACCACCAAGTACCTGCAGAAGGTCAGGCAGGTCCTGAGGAGTCAGCTGAACAGTAAGAACAGATCCAGGCTATCATCACTTACGCCCTGCCCGTGATCAGGTACCTGGCTGGGATAATAAGAGATAGAAGCCACTGACATCAAGACAAGGAAACTCCTGACCATGCATGGAGGGTTCACCCTAAGTTCAGCACCCTGAGGCTGTACGCTAAGTGGAAGAAAGGAGGACGGGGACTGGTGAGTATCAGTACCACAGTCCAGAATGAGACAACAAATATCCACCAATACAACCGACCACGTGCTCAGTGAATACCTCAGGCAGCAGAAACCCAAGAAAGAGGAGGAAGAGGAGGAGCCATTGTAGAAGGACAGACCCCTGAACGGTGTGTACCACCGGCAAATCGAGGAAGAGGCCGACATCCAGATGTCCTGATCTGAAAGACAGCACAGAGGCACTAATCATGGCAGCACAGGAACATGCTCAGAGCATATATACCTTTGTGTGTGTATATATATTGTTCACTGAACTTAAACTCAGTATTTATTCAGGTTAGGATGTACGCATTTGGAAAAAAATAGTTTTAGGTGTGGTTCAGTGTGTGGACTGAACATGCACATGTGAGTCCTCATTGTGTCATTGTGCACACTTGTGGAGCTCGGTTTACGCTTGTGGATCGACCCTTTGTTGAACACATTTTTCTCCATACATATGCATCAGTTAGAGCAGCAAACAAGCAATAAAAAGAGTAAATACAGCAAAACCCGTTTTCATCAATGTGATATTTTGTACAGTTTCTGTGAATACACAGACTGTTAAACACAGAGGAAATGATGTGAGCTATTACATGTAGGAGTTGGTAATGTGGTCCATAGCAACATGTATGTCAGGGGAATGTTTGTGTCTCTGACAGTCAAAAGAATATTATCATGGAGTGTGTATGCTAAGGGCAGAGGGGCACAATAGTGCACTGTTTTAACATTGTATTAAATCAGGAAGTGAAAAGGTTATGATTTTTTTCTTGGAATATGACTGTTTTTGAGAAATCCATGCATTCAGATACGATTGCTGAGGAATTCTCTGTAATGAACTCAAAAACGTTTTTTGTGTGTTTACCAATTCAGATGGATTCCCGATGATGGAAGAAGAAAACCAGTCAAGAAAAAAACAAACTGAGAGCATGTATTTAGCTTTAACTACCAGGAGTGTTTTTTCAAAAGGTTAACTGATGGAAATTCTTATTTTCTTATTGTCTGTAACACCATCAGTTAATTTGCTGGGTTAGAATAAAATAAGAAAAAATAAGCATGCATTGTCTTGGTAGATATGAAGGAAGTTTAAGGCTTAGTGGAAGAGACTGTATAACAATGTTTAGTTCAGTTGCTTTGATGTTGAGATCCAGTTTTCTCCTGTTGAATAATCTTTAAGTCTTATATTCCAATAAATCAGATTAAAATAATTTAATATATAAAACCATATATTTTCTCTGTAAAACATGTGAAACACATACTTTACATCATATTAAGCTTTCATTTCATCAGCTTGATTGCCTTCAGATGGTATTCATTAAAACCACAGTAACTGTTGGTGTGGTGCTGCCAGTTTTAGTTTTCTTTAATAAGTTCAAACTGTTGTAAACATTTGATTTTGTTGTGGAGCTCTTATGTAATTATTACAGTTTTAAGATGTAATTTATGGTTATCATGTAGAGTTCTGTTTGTCATCTAGCACCATAATCAGGTTTTGTTTTTATTGCATCTTAGATTTTTCAGCTGCTGTGCCTGAGCAGCCACCCAGAGACCCTTTGCTGCAGTTAGTCTCCCTGCAGGAGGCGTCTGGCTGCTGGCTGCTTGATCCAGCTCTGGCTGCTGCACTGGGACAGACCAACGAGGAGGTGGAAAAGTCAAAGCCTGAAAAGGTGCACTGCTGTCAATTTAAATATTAATACAAAATGATGATGTGAGATAAAACAGATTTGATTCTATGATTTCAACAAAAACACATGATGTAATCAAAAATACACCATAAAACAAAGAAAATAAAGTCAAACTAAATGTAGGCCTGCCTCAGCCTGAGAATAAACATCTGCATATCAGAAGCTAAGGCTACGTCCACACTAATGTGTTTTCGTTTGAAAACACATCGTTTTCTCTCCGTTTTGGTCTCCCGTCCACACTGAGACAGCGTTTTCCTCAAGGAAAAATGCAGGGTTTTGAAAACGCTCTCGAAAACGTATACGTTTCAAAACAGAGCTGCCCCGTCGCAGTGTGGACACTCAAAAACACAGACTTTCTAAAGCGATGACGCATTTTAGTCATGTGATGCAGTCATGTGACCAATTAAACAAAGATAGCGGAGGGCATTATACAGCAGTTGTTTTGATTGCTCTCAATTTTGACAGCCCTAAAACAGATTATTATCAGTTTGTACATGCTCCAGATAGATTTTCTTAAAATTCTTTAATTCTCACTCGCTTTTGCGCATGCGCAATACTGGAACGTAAGCGTTTTAGGCCGTTTCAATGTGGACGCGCAACTCTGTGAAAACAACTCAAAACGCTAGTGTGGACGCAGAGCATTTTCAGACGAAAACGCAGTCTTCAAATCTATCCGGGCTAGCGTGGACGTAGCCTAAAACACTGGTGGTAATCATGCTCCTAACCACCCACTGAGATGCACCAGCGTCTGATATTATCCAGAAACTGCAGAGCAGCAGAAATTTTTGACTGGCAGGCTGGCAGTCCATCAGGATCGGCAACAGGACTTCAGGCAGCATTATTACAAATACTGGCGTCCTCAGTCACATCCTTTACACCCTGTACACCCTGTACTGTGTCACCTCCAACAAGGATAACATCATTTTGAAGTTCGCGGACAACTCTGCAGTGGTCGGTCGCATCACTGGAGGAGATGTGGCGACTTACAGGAGAGAGGTGGTCGGTCTGGTGTCATGGTGTGAGGACAACAACCTCACCCTCAACACTGGCAAGACAAAAGAGATGATAGTGGACACGAGGAAGAAGAGGAGGCCTCACTCACCGCTGTCTATCCGGGGCCTTGAGGTGGAAAGGGTGAGCAGCTTTAGCTGGGCGTCTACATCTCTGAGGACCTCACCTGGACACTGAACACCACACAGCTGGTCAAGAAGGCTCATCAGCGGCTGTATTTCCTGAAGAGGCTGAGGAAATTTGGTATGTCGGCCAAGATCCTCAGCAGGTTCTACAGCTGCATTGTGGAGAGCACACTGACTAGCTGCATCACTGCATGGTATGGCAGCACTACTGCCATGAACTGAAAATGCCTGCAGAGAGGTTCAGAAGTGTGAAATCCAGAACATCCAGACTCAACAACTTCCACACTGCCATCAGATTCTTGAACAGCTGACCCATTCTGAACAGTAATAATAATTTTTTTTGCACGTCTGGTCATCTTACATATTAAGCCAGCATATTAAGCTATAGCTCTTTTGCACACATCTGTTTCAAATTTCCATATTTTGTCTCCTTTTCTGTCTTCATTTATTTATTTGTACTATTTGTATTATATGTTCTATTTCTATTGTATATATTAATCGACATCTGTGGGTGGAAGGAATTTCATTGCACAGAAAAATGCCTTTTCTCTTGTGACACATGACAATAAGCACTGTGAATCCTTGTATTATTTTCTTCATCAGTTGTTGTAAAACATGTCAGCACATTATTTTAGAGCATTTATGATATCACAGTTTGGGATTTCCTCAGAAGAGCATCCAGTGTAATAATCTGCCAAATCAAATATGCAGAGCTGCCCACCTTGGTGACCCCGTGTGACAAAGAAGTACACAAACATATCTAATATTACTGGTTGTAGAAAGTAAAATGTGTGTTCTGTCTGTTTTATTTGATTGATTTTGATTTGGTGAATTAGACCAGCAGTGAAGTGTGGGCCACCATTCTGGCTCTGATCTGGCTTCATGGTTTCAAGATGGATGCAAAGGACGAGTGGGAGCTTCTGGCTATGAAGGCTGCCTCGTGGCTCTGTGCTCACAATGGTACTAGCAATGATTGTAACAAATAAAAAAACAGCTTTAAAAAACTGTTTCATTCTACAGCTTTCCTCCCACAATCATTATTTTAATATCTGTGTTGTGTTTTTAGCACAGTGTGTGTCAGAGTGTGTGGATGCTGGAAATGTCCTGCTGGGTTGCAGCGTGAAGAAAGAAGCTCTGGGACTCTGAGGGTTTTCTTAAAGTAGCTTCATCTTCAGAGTGAACAGAAGCAGGTCTGCTTACTCCACACTGCCTTTGATACAGAGCTGTTTTATATCATTGAACCCTTTTACATGTTTATTTGTCATGAATTATGTACCTAATTTTGGTTTTACCATTGTGGAAAAAAAGTATGTCAAAATTATCTGAATACTCCTAACACAGTAGAAGATTGGACCACTGCTGTGGCAGCTCATTCAGAAAGTGTTTTGATTCCTTTTCCCTGCCACTAAATGGCGATTATGTTCATACTTTTTTACTGATTTCACACAGAAACACCAAAACCAATCTAAGAAGAGTCTTTTCCCTTTCTGTTATAGTTCTGAAAATGGCTTCAGTTCAGGACATTTTCAAGATGGTCCTCAGTGAATTTATTAAAAAAAAATTTAAATAACTATTTACAGTGTTTACACCATCTTCTAAACAAAGTAGTCTATCTTAGCTTTTATTTTTTAGAAAGTAATATTTTTATGGCCAAATTGAAATGAAACCATACAGAACATCATTCGGTTTCTCTTGCAGGAGTTACAATTTTATCCATAAAACACTTTCATTCTGCTAACTGACACTGATTGATCCTTGAATGTGTTAAGACAGCACATAGTCTTCATTCATGTTTGCTTATTCATGTAGTTCGAGTTGAATCTGAATTTCCCAAAACTGCCTGTTTTGTAATGACTTTCCAAATAATACTTAGCATAAAAAGTTAGAAAATTTATGTTTGGTCTCTCATTCCTTTGTTTGTGATTCAGCTAATAACACAAGAATTTTTGAAGCCACGCTGAAAATACTCAGCAATCTGTGCATTCATGACTGGATGTAATAC